GTGCCTTATGCCTAAAACTATATGAACTAAATTTCATAAATGTGTCAATGATCTTTGGGCCAGAACTCAAAATCAACGGCTCACAGGAACGTCTATGAAACATCATTTTTTAGCACATTTCGCATTGAATAGATGATGTAATTTGTGCATCGTTAGCGTAAAAGAAAGTGTTGAAAGTCCCTTTGTTATGTTAAACAGCTATGATATGCAGTGATGTTGCGGAACCTGTGTGTAGAACACTTCCAAGCAAGAAAAGTAGATGTGTGCTTACGCAAACGTCAGATAAAATCCTGCCTTTCTTATAGGTTGGCAGCTCCCAATTCATGCTACTTATTAGCATAATTATCACCCTACAAACATGGTACATCGCAATGAACATCGCCATTTAAAATATATGTTTTCCTGCTTAAAGACTTCATCTGAGCAAAAAGTACAAGTGTATCAAGTTTTTTCAAGGACTTGCCTTTTAACAGGAGGGCATAGAACTGAGGTTCTATTGATCCAACCGCCATGTATTTACCATCTTTTGTTTCGTATGTGTCATAAAATGGCGCTCCGGTGTCTAGTAGATTTCTACCTGGAATTTTAGTTGGCCAGGCTAACTGTAGATCATGGGAACGCCATAACCAACTGGATACGTATGCAGCACCTTCAGTCTGTCAAAATATAATTAAGAAGAACTTACTGGGAATAAGAAATGAGAGACTTAATTAGCACATCTTTATTATTATTATTCAAGTACTGCAAAAACACATTTTCAGTACAATGGATATTATCTACTTTACACTCATTGTTAAAAAGCAGACTCACATTAGATGTTCAAAGAAGTTCAAATAAAATATCCTGTTTCTGACTGAGTCTTACACATTTATTCAAGTCAAATCTCATAGGTCTCACAAATTTCTGATAAATTTTATACTGAAAAGGTCAGGTAAGGTCAGAATTTATATCCGAAAAGAGTACTTGTATAGGGGGATGATATGCAATTGACATGTTACTGTAAAATATTTTATTTTAGCCGAAATTAATTTTCGCTGAATAGACTTTTTGGGTGTTTTGTATGGAATTTATTTTCACTGATTATTGACAAGTTGTATGTAAAATAGTATAATCAATGGATCATTCTTTCAGCGAAAAAAGCGAAAATTAATTCCCAGCGAAAATAAAGTATTGCACAGTAGTTCAATTAAACTAATTAACATACACAGATTAAATGGAAACTATCAGATATTCATCTAAACAAGCATGTACCATTTAAACTGATTAATTATTAAGCATGATTTGGGGGTAAAGAATATATGTAAAACTATGTACCAAATTTTATTCAAAACCAGCCAGTAAGTGATTCTTGACATATCGGCGGAATAAGAGACAGACAGACAGACATACATCAGTAAAACACTAGCTCCCATTTGTGCTTTACTCACACAGACGCCAATAATGATGCTGACTCACCATACTTGCGTCAACCACCTGACCACGTCCTGTCTGCTGCCTCTGTATCAAAGCCATTAGAATTCCCATCGTGCATAACAATCCACCACCAGCAAAGTCAGCCAGTACATTTATAGGCGGGGTTGGTTTTCCACCAAACCGTTTCATCGTGGATAAAGCTCCTGTATAAGACACATGGTCACAAGCGATTTAAATATTTTATAATATCTAAGATCTGCTTAGCATTTATTTGTTACATTGGGTCAGGTTAGTCCATTTATTCTTTGTATCATAACTCAGTTGTTCAAGCTATATCTGTATACATATATAATACTAAATTGCCTCCGACGTTTTAATAAAATGCAACACTTGCACAACATGTATCATTTCTGGATTTTTTTTGGCAGTAATTGAACATAAACATATATAGTCCTTGTTGTTTTCATCAAGTTTAGTTTTCAGTGAGTTGTAGGGAGTCCTTAAGTCAGTGAATTTAATTAATATTTTCATGACTGTATGGGGTATATTCCGTATGGATTCATAGCTGTCACGAATTACGTTTTGTCCCGAGTTCATCAATGTATATGAATTTCAATAATATTTTGTTAAATTCCAATGAAAAAATGTTCAATACAAAACTAAAGATGATACAGTAAAATTTCAGCATAAAACTGCTTATTTGTGAACCCCCTACACCACAACCACCTCTCTATTTGCTTGTGGATTTTTTTCGTCAGTTCTTTAATTGAATCACTATTGTAAAGGACATGGAATTATCCTGTTAAATACTGTTTTTTACTCATCTCTAATGTTCTAACATCTGCTAACCTTCAAAACAGACAATTTTCACTCAGCATCCTTTGCCAGCATTTACTAGGTGTGTGGGTCCCCCCACAAAAGTCTGGAAAAATTGTCTTTGCGGTCAGTTTGATGACGTTGATTGGCT